GCGCCAATGAAATAGTTTAGATGCAACTTCGTATCTTCCTAAGAAGGAAAATTGTGTCTTTATTTCTCTGGTGACTTCCTCCCCCGTTTTACCTCCGACATGAGAATTAGTGATTGTTTTTAGATAAATGATTTTTAAAGAACGGTGAAAATGATAAAAGAAATAATTTTTTTGAAAGGAAAATCTTCTCTATACCTGGCACCAATGTTATCAAAATCGGACTGGACCGGCCAATTCAATCTTAAAAATTGCGAACCAGTCCAATAGCTGGTTTACTTAATGATAAAAAAACCATTAAATTTAAAATCGAAAAAAACTGGTAAAATTTGACCCTAAACCGAAAACCGAATGACCCGTTACTGGTTCTTCCAGTTTTGCCGGTTGGACAACTAAACTAAATGTTATTGTTTTATGATTTTAGCCCACAATAATTAAAGGCCTATATCAAATACTTAAACTCATTAGCGTGCAAATATATAGAAGTGATCTTCAAGGGATTTGATATGAGATTCCGATGTGGAATTCATAAAAGGATTGTTGAGTTGGTAAATACTAAATAGTTTTCCAATTATAAAAGTTAAATAAATTAGAAAAGCAGTAGCTCTACTTTTTTTTTTTAAAAAAAAAAAGGGAAAATCATATTGGTGTAAATTATTATCTTTTCAAATTATTTTTTTTTCATTTTCAATAAAATATATGGGATTTTTTTTTAATTTTTTTATAAATACATTGGCACAATAAAATACTATAGAAGTATTAAACAATTCACTTTATGATAAAATAAAAATTAAATGTACCCAAATGTAATCGTTAATAGGTATTTTTGTCTCTACATTAATTAATTTGAAAAATCAACTTAATTTTGTCAATTGTTATGATGTATTATTTATTTATTTATTACAACCGATTCGACCCTGATTCGACCACGGTTCGACTTTTCAATCCTCAACCCTTCAACTTTTCCGGGTCAAAAGCTAGGTCGATTTTTAAAACATTGTCTGGCACGCCTATGGGGTATTTATAGCCGTCCGGCGTACCACATAATTATCGTGTTATTGCCATCCACGTGTGCCATGTGACCTACCCACTCCTCAGACGATTTTTACCACCTGTTAAGTGGTTACCTTTCGCCCACTACTTGAATGATAGGTTTAATGATAACCGACGGGATGGTTACTCATCAGTTCCAATGTTCTTTGGGTAGTTTAGATAATAGTGGTCAGTCTGCGCGTAGCAGTAGTCATACTTGCATAGAAGTAAGCATCCTATCATGGTGAAAGTCTCCTAACATAGTATGAGTCGTCTTCACCCTATAGGCAAGCAAGCATAGCGTCGGTCAAGTTAGCATAACAGTAGTCATCATATCATGATAGACGCCACCTAACATAGCGGTTGTCATTCAACATAATGAGAGTTATCCTCTCTCTACCGGCTTTCATAATTCATTATTTGAACCACACAGCATTACTCTTTATCTTCTTCATCATCGTCATCATCTTCAATGTCACCATACTCATCCATAGTAGCTTCCCCAGTGAGCCATGATATTGCACGGGGATGACTTTATCTCGAATGGTTGACCTGCAGGAAAATGATTGTACCAGTCTATAAGATATCTCTTGAAACAGAAATTTGAAACCAAGATGAAAACAGTAAATGCTAGAGTTTTGGGAAGCACAAGGTATCACCATACAAGATAACAGGGTATGCTATAAAGCCTACGGTAAGTTCCGAGACATTCATGTCCACAGCACAATTCAAGAAATTACAACTCAAATGTTTGTCAGTTGAACATTCAACAAAATTTGCACAATATTCCATCTCGCCAACCCCCCAATCCACACAGAGGAAAAAAAAGGACCAAGTCTCTCTTCATATTCCTCTTTTTTAAATTTCTTCTCCTTAGCATTCTCTCATACTTCTCTTAATTCTTACACATCTTTGGAACTTAATCATTTTTAGTTTTATCCCTGAATTACAAATAAAGGGTATATGAAGACTTAATCCCTGCAAAATTTGAGTAAAAATTCAGGTCTAGGGCTTAGAGTACTCCCCTTGTCTAGTAATTGAGTTAAGTGGCAAAACTTACCCAACATCATAAGGTTGTTCCATCAAGTTTTGGAGTTCTTCATCCTGTCCAATACATGAAAAAAAAATATATGTATCAAAACAAGGGAAAAAATAAGTCAACCATTTCCTAAACAAAAGAACAAGCTCACAACATCTTCATCCTCCTCGGGGACTTCTGGCAATGCCGGTTATGTGATTTTCGAGCCCTGAGGCGAACAACATAAATTGGGCCCCAAATTTGAGTATGCATGCAAAATCGTATGATGAAGTCAATAGTTAACTTGCTAATTTAAAAATTAATAATAAAACATCAAATAAAATGTATTATACAAAAAAATTTATTTTATAATCAAATAACAAATCCAACAAATTTTCAAATAAACAGTAAAATATTATTCGATTTGCGGTTTCAGAGGCAAAAATATTGTTGAAATTTGAATAATCTACTTGTTCAATTATTTATTTCTCAATTAATAATATAGTCAATCAGTTCAATCTTTCATGTTATATAGTTGATCGAGGATAAGATAAGATATGATTAACAAAATTTTGTAGTTAATATAAGCATTTGAGATGTGTTCAAATATTGTAGCATTTTAATTGCCCTCGTTTCTTCACTTAGTATATAGCACCTTAGGACATGTAACTCAGAATCATAAATCATGTCCATTAATATTCGAATGTCAATTGTATTTTAGATATTTCTCAAGATTTATAACAAATTGAAAAAATTGCACGCTTTAACCTTTCTAGATTTAATAAAAATTGAAATATTTCTTCATATTGTATAAATTGTTCAAATCAAATTTCAAAGAAGATAGAGTTTAATTAATTATAAAAAGAAGCATTCAACTCTAAAAAAATTCTTCAAAACCAATTGATTTACATCATCATTACTACTTTTGTCAAATTCCTTCTTTATTCAAATAATAAGTTTTTATTGGAATACATCTTCAATACCTATTTTGCTTGTGCTTTTTGTCGATTTATCCATGACAATAACAAATTCAATTTTTCTATACTTCTCGAGAAATTAAAAAAAAAAATCCTTGTAAGAATTCGATAGCACCATCAATATCCATGTTTTTATTTGAAAAAATTACTAATAATCTGAAACAGATTATCATGCTAAGCAATAACTCAAAATTTTAAAGTTCATATGTCGTCAAAGACATGACATTACTCTTTGTTTAAAGATCTTCGTCAATTTTTACGAAGCTAAGTAACACGTCTCTTATTTTAAACAAATAAATCTAATGTTACCTATGTGATGAATAACTTGAGTAGAATTAAGAAATTACTGCAACATGAGTTTGGAAAATCCTACGCCACTTGTCCCCCTCTGTTGCATTTGAAATTGACCTAATTTGAAAATGAAATTATCATAATGAAAAATATTATTGGACCTTATTTATAAATGGAATGGAATGGACCTAATTTTTCAAAATTTTAATAAAAAAATCTAGTGAACCTAATTTACCAAATAAAAAAAAATTGAAATAGGCTAAAATCTGAGATCCCTTGCTCGCATCTATGCAAAACCGACCATGACTTTTGGTGGATTAAAGAAGTTAAAAAAGCTTTCACATTATTCTGTTTTAGTAATTGGCTCGGCATTTTTAGACCCTTTTGTAGGTTTCTTTTTAAGAATCTTCTTTGTCAAGGATTTTATTCTATCTTCGTCCTACAAAGTAAGCATCAAGTTCAAATTAAAAATAGAAGAGAAGCATGCAGTAGAATTTTCAAAAGCTACAAAAATTTTACAGGCCGGGAAATAAAATTACCCGATTGCTTTCTCCAGTATGGGTTCATCTTCATCAATAACGTGATACATTCTAGTTTTACACATACGACCAGGGGCGGATCAAGATCATTTGAACTGTGGGGTCAAAATTTTTTTTTTCGAACAACGTATCATGAAAAAAAAAGGAAAAATCGGTTGTTTGCTGTTCATGTTCGATATGTGCACTTTGGGAAGAAATCGTTGGATTGTATGATATGTTTATGGATTAAATAATGGATATGGACCATGTGATATGGATATAGATTTAGAATTTGGACTTTTTGGTACAGAAAATTAAGTTTTCAGCACAAAAAAAAAACAGAAAAGTAAGTTTTCAGCACAAAAAAAAATAAAAAAAATTCCAGAAAACTGTGGGGTCATTTGACCCCACATGATCCCATGTGGGTCCGCCCCTGCATACGACTAGTACAATATATGGCAACTTCACCCCAATCTTCACTAAAAATGAATATTTCTGAGTAATTTTCATAATGTTCATTATGCAGTCGTGGTTTTATTTGAATTATTTATTTTTGTTATAACTTTGAGAAATTATGATTACATAATATTATATAGTGGGCGTGATTTTTAGTTTTACAAATACGACTATTACGATATCTGATGTGGAACCATTATAATCGAACTAGAAATGAACTCAATCATATTTGAAAATTCTTTTTTTTTCTTTACATTCATTTTCAAAAATATATTCACATAATAAAATATTTTGCATGTGAATCCAAAATTTTTATCTATTTTTCAATCACAATTTTCCTAAAAATTATTATTTAAAACTTTGTTTTTCTCAAATAATGATCGTCAAACAGGCTCAATTAGCCATTTCTATTTCAGTTAAAATTCGTTCGATCTCGATCTTAAAATTGAGAATGAATGCTATTCAGTTCTCGATTCTAGTAGAACTCGAATTTGATTCGACTATAAAATTACTTTTTCCTCAAGAATTGGAATCGAACCACTGAGAGGCCGGACCTTTTTTTTTTTAAAGGTAAGGATCGAATGAGAAAAATCTAATAACTATTGGCACCAAAAATGTAATTTTACCCACTATATTCCAATTCCAAGCTCTGGCTTTTTGCTGGTGATTTTGTTGTAAGAACAGCCAAATCATAGAGTTGCAGAGGTTAGAATCACTTTGTTTCTCAACCTTCGTCAATGTCTTAATCTTTTTCATATTCACAAAACATCGAGAAAATCTGTTGGTACTCAATTTTTATTTATAAATACCAAAAATGGGAATTCTTGTGCAAAATTTCAATGTGGTGCTCCCTTATTTTGCTGTTAATAATAATCCTTGTTCATCAGATTTTACCCTTCATCAGGCACGCTTCATTTCTCGTCGAAATCGCTGCTTCAAATTCAAAAGAACCCTAGTCATGGCTCAAAACCCAGGTAAAAGAATTGCTTTAAATCCCCATTTTGTACATTCATTTTATATTTATATGTGGAATACCTCATTTTTACTGGGTTTTATTCTTCTCCATCGTAATGAAGGAAAATGATGATGGAAGTAGCTCAAAGAGTTTGACTTCTGTATGCATTTGTACAAGATGTCGTAATTGAACAGTAGGGATTTGAGTGAAATTGTGGGTTTTAGGCCGCAACTGAATTGTGGACGTATGCGTAGTATCTAAATTCATACATGTTGGATTATGCTAGAATCAAGGTTAATGGGGTTTTTCGTTTTTTATCTAATATAATTGCTCAAAAGTCTGGTGTAAATAACGAACAGCTAAGGAAGTATCAAATACTAGTGAGAACTGGTTGGCCATGTGTTAGTAGTGCATTGGAGAATTAAGAAAGTTGATAGTACACTAGTTTCAAATAATTTTATTTTTTTTCGTTGATCAGTGATATCGAGACTAGAAGTATATATTGATGAGATGAGTTTAATAATTAGGTACTAAGCTGCAGTTTCGTGCCACTTGAACACTAGTGTACTTAACTATTTGTGATTCTGTACGTTAAGTAATAAGTTTAAGATGATCTCCCCTGCAAAGAAATTGCAAGAGGGGACTGGTTTATTGTGTATAATTTCTTTAATAAGGTTGATACATGATACTGGATGAGTGATCTTCTGTATTTTTGTCAATGCGCCATATTTGTGCTCTTGTTGGTTAAGAAAATTCTTATATGGACCAATCATGAATTGAAAAGTTATGTTTAAAACTCCAATGCGATGCACATGATAAGAGTAAAAAAATGCTCTCCTAAAAAAGGTACAGAGGTACAAAATTGTCGCATTTGCCTCTGAGCCATCACTTCTTTTCATGGTAGCAAACACGATATCTCTATCTGTATACTTCTTATCTCAAAATTAATAATTTATTTAGTTGTAATGAACGGCATGGAGACACAGAAATTATGTTATCAATAGTCAGGTACTCCTAAGGTGGCACTAGCATCGGCGTCCGCAATTTACTTCCACATTACAAAAAATTTATCTCTGAGCTTTTCAGTTTATCTTCATATAATTTAGAAACTATACTTATCCTGAGGTTGATTGATCTTGATCTGCATGGTGGATTCTCTTTGCAAAAGTTATAAACTTGTTTAGACATTTTATATAATTGGAGGATCTATCTCCTTTATCCCCACTCCTTACATTGAAGAAAGATAAAAACTGGTCTAAGGAGTGGCTTGGTTATAATTGTTGGACTTACTTATATCTTGAGACCTTTTTGTGGTCACTAATGTATGTATTCCTTCCAATGTTTCAGCAGCCGTGCAGCAATTGAAAGTACTAAACAAGCACGGAGAAAAACTTGTTGGATTGTTGCATGAGACTGGATCTATGGAAATTGTAGTCTTGTGTCACGGTTTTCGATCCTCAAAGGTTGGTGAGTTCTGTTAGTTTGGTTAGAATGGGTGCACTGAATGATGCATTGTCATATATGTTCATGCTGCATTAAGTGTCTAGAAAGTTTTCTTTCCACCTCTCTGAATCAAGGAAAAAGATTGGCCTCCCTTGTAAAGACTCAGTCTCTATTCACAAGCCGTTAACTTTTTATGTATTGTCCTCTTACCCCTCACGAATTGTTGTAACGTTCCCCAAGATTCAAACTCAACGTCTCTGCCTTATGAGAGACTTAAGTTGGGCATAGAGGTTGGGCCTTTACAGCCCTTCTTGGATTATGCTGGGGTCTTTTGAATTAGCCTCGTGGAACCACCCTGATCTTTTGATGCTAATATTTTTATTAATGCTAATCATCTAAATTGTCATACCAAAAATTTGTTTATTTTGCTATTTATCCCTGTAAAGACAAGGCCGCTATATGTCTAATTATAAAAAGAAAGGTGAGCCTGTACTCTCTCTCTTGAAAATCATGACAAAATGATGCATGTGAAGTAAGGCTTCTTTCTTGGTAACGAAGCCTGGGTATTATTACTAGAATACTTCTGAACAGGGTGGCGGGGAGTGCATTAAGAATAATGGAAATTAAGGTTGAAATGATTATCGGAAACTAAGGCTGGAATGAACTTCATGTCCTAAAGGATGGCTCTGGTACCATGTAGAGAGCCTAGGTTTTGATAAATTCTGTGTTGTTCATTGGAGGGAATATGACAAATATACAAATTTATATAGGCAAATGGATCATATTAAATGCCTGGGAAATCTCTAATTATGAGGAAGATTGCTCAACTACCCCAATATGAAAACAGCCCGAAATTCAATTCTTTACAACATATACCAGATAGACATTTCAGATATGCCTATATAAGATGGCAAATTCTCCATCTTTTTATATACTATCTTATTTCTAGGTGGGTCCAATTTTTTTCCAATAAAATTTGCTTATTATCCTTCTTATTTCTTGGATGCTAAGCATTGTATGTGAAAGTGTATTATGCAGAACTGAGCTAAGAGTAAAATCAAATTGTTATATTACTTTTATGAAAATTAGGGATGTTAGATATATACACATATTAATTGATATCATTAAAAAAATTAATCCAAATCGAATTCATATGGGAAACATACTAATGTTGCAAGAAGTAATTATTAAACATTGGAGCAACTATTATATTTGCATCGGAATTGTTTTAAATTACTGATACCAGTTCAAAGATTTTATTGTTGAATCAGATTTCAATCTTCATCTTCAGAATAAATTTTCAATTTTTATTTTTTCTACACACGTTGTGGGTTCAGATCTTTATCTCAGAACATTGCTTCTTCTTTTTTTCCATAATGAATGGTCCAAGTTGTATTTCATTTTGTTCAATTGAAAGAATTAATTTTGTTGATTGTTGTAGTTGCCTTGATCATGATAGTGTTACTTGGTGCCGCAGGTACCTTCATAGTTAGATAGACTAATTTAGGAATTTAATTCATTCTGCAGGTAAGGCATATTAGCTAATTAAAGTGCAAAATAGGCCGATATAGCTTCACATAAGAACTAGGCATCTTAAAATTAATCACCATCTTGGAATTCCATAGCCACTCTGCATCAACTCACTATTATTTTCAAATGCATTCTTAGACTAGTCTCGTTGTCTAAATTTGTAAGCCCTCATCAAAAACCTAGGCTTTTGAAGAATGCAGAGAAATAATTCTCTGTAAAGACAAACTAGCTATATCGGAAAATACATTTTAATCCTCGTGAAAGAATGATTCAAAACTAACTGTTGACTGCTAAAGAGAAAGTTTTCAGTGAAAAGGTATCCATGCTGTTTCAATCAAAATATGAACCCAATTAAGGAAAAAAGATTTAAAAATAAAAAGGATTTAAAATGGTGAATTTTGGAAATAAGAATATCCTAAGTGAACATACATGCCAACGATGAAGTCATTGCCTTTTCATTAAATTCCCCTGGGGACTGTATTTTTGTCATCTTTATATATTTTTGCCCAACCAATTTGATGAATTTTTGGGTGAAAAGCGTTTTTCATTTCTGTTCTTCTGTACGTTGCTTAGATAGAGTTCCAGTTGGTTGTGATGATGTACCCAGCTGTGGATTCATCTCACATATTTCAATCTGCAGGAGACTAGCACTATATCAAGCCTTGCAGTTGCTTTAGAAAATGAAGGAATCAGTGCAGTTCGCTTTGATTTTGCTGGAAATGGGTAAGCTTTTTGATACTTTATTTTAAAAAGAGCCCAATGTGAACATTATACACATACATATGCATTATATAATTTCTATCTATAACGTGCCCATTTTTAGTATAATAAGATTATATCTTTTGGCTGGTACATCAATCTCACTTTAAATTTGACAGATTTTATCATTTGATCATTTCTTGAAGTGTATTAAACATTAAATATCCTAAATGTCACATTGTGCTTGATGAATTTTTGTCTATGCTTTTGATTGCTCTTTTCGAGGTGAATACGTTTTTGTTGAAGACAAATTTAAATAAATAAATGTGCCAACTTAAGCTTTTACGTAAGGTGGTTCAATATGGAATCAGTGCAGACAAAGGTCCTCTGTTCAAGCCTCACCTTACCTTTCATGGAAATTGTCTGGTCCTTGATTAAAGAAAATGAATCCAGCCTGCATGTGAGCATTTTATTAAAGGCTAGATTTATATAAATAACGTGTCTTCTCTCTAATAGCTTAATTTTTTTAGATGATGTGATTCAGTGGTCATGCTTCGTGATATTTCCCTCAACATGCTGAGAAGCTAATTTCAGGAGTTAGTTCAGTTGAGGAGTGCCTGTTTAGAAGGGTGGGTCACTCATGATGGATAAAATAAATGGTGGCTGACCTTATTGACAAACTAACACGCATTATCAATTGTCATGCTTGTATAAAATTAAATATCCTGATCGTGTCACTGAGGAGGATAAAACATTAAATTATCATGTCAATCTTGATTAGTCAATACAGAATATGGTTTCCATTTATGATAAAGCTCATTCTTATTGTTTGCACAAGTTTTTACCTTGAAAAATGGCAGGGCAAGGTACCCCAAGCTGATACCTTGGCCTTCATTTATTTTTAAAGAAAAAAATTGGAGATACATGATAACCTTATTGGTAATATTTCTGAGGAAATGAGAAAATTAAAACTAGAACTTGGCAGTTAATTTTTTTATTTTTTATTTTTATCTTTGGCATACCTGTCCAGGGAATTTTCCCCACAACAAACAATGATATATATATATATTTTTTTTATTTTTAACTTATTGTCTTTACCTCTATTTTTATGAAACAACAGAGCCTTAGGTGGTAGATTCACATCTAATCTCTAATTCCGTAAGTGGAGTGCAAAGTTGGAGATTTTGCCAGTTGTATGTAGGTAAAAGTTGCCAAGTTTTCAGGTCAAGAATGTTGATTCTCCCATGCAATCCTTATTCTGACGAGCATGTAACCAGTATGATCTAGGTTGTTAATTTCATTCGTGTTATTACTTATATCAAAACATTTCTTGTGCTACGGAAAAAGTAAAATGCTATTTTTTGATCCTTAGGCTATTGGTCAAAGAAGTTTTCTATGAACTGAGGGCCTTGTGACATTCTAATGGGAATCCCATCACTAATTTGTATGCTACCTATGTATTATTTGAAACTCCTATTGGAGCATTGTTGGATGAGAATTAATTGTTATCTTATTAAGCAATACTGAGATTGGTGCTAAAGTTTTCTGGACAGATTTGAAGTTTTAACCTTATGCAGTGGCTATGCATTCTTTGGACTTTTTCATTCTAAAAATAATTGAGTTATATTGCAGAAGGGTAATGAATGAGAGAATGCATAATTATTTGTTTTCCATAGCAGTTCTTAGCCGAACTTGATTCTGCCTTTTTCCAATATCTGACTGACTGTGTTTCTTGAGAATCTTCGAAATGTTGCCAGTAAAAATTGTAATGGTTTTCTAGTAGAATTCGTGGTTTTATGTTTATAATTGATTTCCAGGGAAAGTGAAGGTTCATTTCAGTATGGTAACTACCATAGGGAGGTTGAAGATTTACGATCCGTGATTGAATACTTTACTGGAGTTAAACGCACTATCATTGCAATTCTTGGGCATAGTAAAGGTGTGCCAACTTCTGCTCAGAATTTAGATTTTAATGAGATATTAATACTCATATTTTATGATCCTGATAATTCACACAACATGTCACATACTGCCCTGAAATTAAACGAGACATTCCTCGACACCCGTATTGTCAAACCCCAACAACCTTAATACAACTGCTGCACCCCCTACCCAGGAAAAAAGAGAGGAAAAACTAAGAATAAAAGGAAACAGAATAGAATTGATAAGAATAGACAAACTTGACAAAGTTTGAAGCAGTTTTAAAATCTGAACACTCTTCACCTTTCCTCTGGCTTAATACTTGCCAAACTTGTCCACGATGAAAATCAAGAAAACAACAAACAATAATGATCTTAGTTTCATTTGACTCGCTTACTGTAATGAATTCTTTCGTAAATTGTAAGGTACGTTAATGTCAATTTTGCTGGGTTTCGTTGTGTTAATACATCGTTTTTTCATATTCTTATCTCTAACAATTACTGGGCAAAATTGTTGCAGGTGGCAATGTTGTCCTCCTATATGCATCTAAATATCATGATATACATGCTGTTGTCAATGTTTCTGGTCGTTATAATCTGAAAAGAGGCATTGAAGAGCGCCTAGGGAAAGACTTCTTGGAAAGAATCAAGAAGGAGGGATTTATTGATGTTAAAAAAAGAACAGGTAATCATTGTCACATGTCAAGTGGTATCTCCTGTTGAATTTTCACGGGGTTTAAGCTCAAAATGAGGATTGCCTCATTTAATCGAATTTACTTGCAATCTTATGATACATTTTTCTACCATGTTCCAATCCTTTTTCAGCATCTATTCTGGACTGGTGGTTGTCTATGTCCTTGAAGTATTTGTCATTAAGGCTGCAGGCAGAAATTTAATAACCATCCTCTAGTTTTCATATGTAGAAATGTATGTTTCGGATTTTGTGATTTGAGGTTGCCCCCCAAGTGTTAGTTTCCCATATGGAATAGGATTGTTTTTCTTTTCTTCATTTTTTCAGATACAGCTTGGACTAAGTAGTATGCTTGATTAATTGTGAGCTTCTCATTCATTTTGGAGGTCATGTTGGAGTATTAACGTCTTCAGATTTCTGGGAATGGATCGTACTACTTGAACAGAGAGTTCTAAAAGTCTATTAATGAGGAAGCACCATCTTATATTTCTTGACTTCAGTCAGTTGGAGATAGACGTATAATAGACAACGGATTTAATAAGGAATGGAACGAGTACTCGATACATTACATGAAGCTGTTTTTTTATTTTCTGTTTGTAGGGTGGATGGCTTCTTTTGTAAGAAATGTTGACTGACTGGTGACTTTTGCAGGAGAAGTCAATTATCGAGTCACTGAGGAAAGTTTGATGGACCGACTTAATACAAACATGCATGAAGCATGCCTTTCAATTGATGAGAGATGCAGGTTAGTATGATGTTAATTTCACCAATATACAATTCTCTGTTTGTCTTGCCATTTCAATGATATTCAAATGTGTAGATAAAGTGAAAGGAATGGTTCCAGCTGTTACATCGATAATGACCCATGAGAATAGTTTCTAGTACATAATTTGAGTCCATAACTTGATTGAATTACAACCCAAACAGGAGCTGAAAAATAGAAAAGGACAATGTGATGCAGGATAAAGAAGAAGGCAGCAAGAAAGGGGGAAGAAACCGGAGAGAATGGGAGAGAAACTGGAGAAGAAGCAGAAATTCAGAGGGAAAGGGGAAGGGAGAGGAAGGAGATAACATTGGTTGCAAGCCAAAACCAATTTCAATTCATCATAATCATCAACTGAGTTTTTGTAGATTAATTACAAACCTTTAAATAGAAGAAAACAACCCTAAAACATAAGGGCTTGGGCCAAACCCATATACAAGCCCAATAAAACATAAAACCTAAATAAATAGAAATAAAACATAAATAACTGGCCCAAACAAATGGCCTAACAAAGGATGTTCGCATCACAATGATTTTGACTAAAGTCGTGATTTAGATTGCTGAAGGTTGTCTGAACTCCTAGAGCTTCGACTATTAGTTAACTCTTGATTACTTATATCTTTTAGGTTTTCAAGTTTTCTGTATAGTGGGAGATGAGATTTACAGTTCGAATATATTTTCCCTGTATGAACTCTGAACTACACCTCTTGTCTGATCTTTAAATATATTACTTGGATTTTTTTATACTTGACGACCCTTTTTATAACCATATGTTCCTAATCAATGCAACTGTAACTTTCAGCACATTCTTAAAACTGTTTTTTAACCTTTGTAATTGGTCCATAGAAAATTTAGCTTCCCATGTGAAAAGTTCTTCAATAATAAATTACCTTGATTATTTTAGTATCAACCAGTTCTTGAAGTTTTTACTGCAAAAGCTCAATAAACGTGCGATTATTTTTCAGACAGGAAAAAAAATCTGCGGAGTAAAATTGCTCAAGGTCAGTTTCTCAATTATTTCCATTTATTTTATATAGGAATTATCTGCCCAAGACCGCAACTTCTTAATTAAATATACTTCCGCTTGGTCTACCATGTCCCGGAGAGAGGTCTTGACTTTGCTGTAACTGCTTATTGGCATTGAGTTTTACCTTTACAACAATTCAAGTCGTAGATGTTGCCATGACCCTGTTAAAAAGCTAATCTCACAGGCGAAAAAGATTAAATGTACGACCACTACGTGTCATTCGGATTTTAAATGAATAAACTGAAGGATTAATAAAGAAAGTGAAATCAGAGTTCTGAACTTATTGCCATACCTGAGATCGAATCTATTAGCTTTCTTAATAACCGTCACCTGACGTGATTTTAAGTACACACATTCAGGTACTACGATGCTCAGGTGAAATATTTTTATATAATCTCTTTAAAATACACGTATGGTGATTTCTGTGCTTCCTGCTTGGTGCTCATTGACATTCGCCCCTTCTTATCTTTCACTTAAAACGGGGGAAAAAATCTATTCCTGCTTTCTGTTTATGTCATTCCAACTTGTTTTGAGAGCTTATGGTTTGCTTCCCGTGGGCATCTGAGTTCGTGCATAAAGAAACGTACCTTCTATGTAATTGCAATACAAGTTGAAGTCCTATATTGATTACCTTTTCATGATTTTGGTTCATTTAGTTAAATGGTGAGCAATATGGTCCCGGTGTAGCTTTTTTTTTCTACGTCAAAGAGAAAACGTGCACCTATGTACATAACATAGGATCTGTTGTATATGTTGATGACTTATCTAACTAAAATGCAGGGTTCTAACTGTTCATGGTTCAAGTGATGAAATCATACCAGTAGAAGATGCACTGGCCTTTTCAAAGATCATACCTAATCACAGATTGCATATTATAGAAGGGGCTGATCATCGATACTCTTCCCATGAAGCTGAATTAGCTTCTGTCGTCTTGCCTTTTGTAAAGGAATGCTTGCGGTCGGCCAAAGATGCTCCACAATAGGTCAGTTTGTTCTCGAGCTTCTTCAGTAGAAATATTTGTGTTCGCGCAAGGATCAAATACCAGTTATTATGGAATAAATTACCTCCAATAAATTCCATATTGTTCCAGCAATTTTTCAGAAACATCTCTGAGTCTTTTCTTTTTGCCTTAGCTTTGTTGGCTGAAAGGAAAGTATTGATGCTCAATTTTTCCTTATTTGAAAGTTGTATTCATCTACAGCTAAATGTATAAGAGAAGTTGAATGACTGCCTTGGATATCCTGCTTGAACATTTATCGAATTTGAAGATCCTCTTATCTTGATTTCTCGAACCAAGAAATTTGTAAATCGGGATCTTGATGCATACAGATACAAATGGTTTATTGGGAGCAATAATTTACGAAAGAACATTGGATATATTTTGTTTCTGAGTTGTAAAGTCATTTGCAAGTAGTGTCATATCGTATTAGTCTATATTTGATTGATCTTAAATTTAGTTTTAAAAAATTGATTTTAAATCTATGATGTTCTAACTATGGATGCTTACAACAAATTTTAAAAATGAGTTAACTTATTATAATAAAAAGATAAAATTTATTTCTAAAATAAGTAACTTATAGCCAGCTACTTACACTCCACTATGCTCTCTCACTCTTCACTGGCACGCTCTCTCTTTCCACCTGGGCAACAAGTTGTGCTCCTCCACGCTTTTATCGACGCTGCTATACGACCTCTTCCTCAATTCCTTCTCCACTGATGCAAACCTCCGTTCTGCCATCGTCGCCGACTTGTGCGCCACCCGCTATCATGATCCTGCCTGCATATCTTTTTCTCACTGCCTTCTTAATTACAGGGATTTCCCCGCTTGTCAGGTGATTTATATTTGAACTGAAATTTTTTTATAATTTAATAGATGTGGACAACTTAGACAAATAAGTAGTCTTTTACAAAATCAAATAAAAAGTACTCTATAAAGTCAAATTACATAATTTAATTTAATATATTCTACTTAAAAAGTGACATATCATGCTACTTTCTTTTATAATGAAAACTTAATTTATATTCAATACAACTACGAATAAAATCATCATCTAATTATTGGTTCAAAAAATCCTTACAAGTAAATTGAAAACTTTTGAAATGTGCGAAAATAAGCATTTTTTATTTATGAAAATAAGCATGGTTAATTAATTAAGACCAAGTGTTTGTAATTTTGAGTAATTGAGTTGTTTAGCTGACAATTGATGTGTCAGTGAGCAATGTTGGAGCTGAACTTGGAGTATCTTTGTTTATTTTCAACCATAGTCAGGCACTTGGAATGAACTTATGTTAGGATATTACTGTAACTGTTTATCTAGCCTCGCCTCATTGTTGCTTATGGTCACACTTAGCCCCCGTCTGGTAGATTTTAATCCAAATCCAAATCAAAATAATATGAGATCTACGGCTTTTCAACCACTTCATATCAGATGAAATGGAATAAGGAACTGAAATTATACTGTTCAACGGTCATATTTCTTCTTAAAAAGCAAATGCAATTAATTTTAATCCCCACCAAACACCGGCTTAGATTGTTGGGGTAGAAAACTTGTATTTTCTTAGTTTTACATCTAACAAGTAACTGTCTTTGGCCTTATGCAGTCCATGATCCACACTTATGTCAAATTTCTCAAACCACAATGGATTGAAATTCTTAGTTGACAATTTGATTCTTAGGATATTTGTATGGTTTTGCAACTGTGTTGGCATAGTATGCCCCCCAAAGAGTGAGTTTTTGGGTGCAAAACAGGAACATTTTGACTCATTATTTGAATTTGATGATGCTATATGCCATAAGGGCAAAGAGACATGTTGGATCTACTTTTATTCTTTCTCTTTCCTCCCTTGTTCTAAAAAGGGACTTCCACGAAATGAAAACGGGCGGCATCGTCGTACGCTCAACTTTTGTTGCCCTGCTAAACGGAGCAAAAAGGATTTCCATGAGATGGGAAATGAAAAGTATTAGTCCCACACCCCCCAAGTAAATAACTATTACAAATAATGAAGAAACTAGCGGATTCAGATACGAAGCTACATAAAATAAACCGACTGATTATTGGATCTAAATAACAATCTATAGATGCATTGGAAATTAATTTTGAATTTGGATATCTATTTAATAAACATCAATATTATATAGACCAAAAGACTTCCAACTTCCATATAACCTAGATAACAATCCATATAACGATCACACCATTCCATATTAAGAGATCAGCCCATTTTCCAAAAATTCCCATTTTCTTCTTGCAATTTTGTACTCTCGAAGGGATTTGGTCTGACAAGTAGTGGTTTTCCCCCTTTTGAATCAAAAGCATATCTTGATGCTAAACATCTTGTGAATAAGCAGAGTGGTGGAATATTGGACAATCTGATTTTATTTATTTATTTATTTATTTATTTTGAATGATATTTGAAAAAAGAATATTCTAGAAAAGTTCTCTCCCATCCCACCCATGCTGATCCTCATTCAGTGACATACTGCCCCTCGTTTAAAATTATACGTTTCGCCATCGACCATTGTACCCAGTTGCTTCATTGTTTTCATATTTTCTTTATGTTCAACCTTTCATTGATCAATGCAGTTTATCTCCACTTATGGATTCTGTTCAAGTAAATCAGCGCTTGACTTGAGAGATTCTGACAAGGGACGTGTTAAGGAACTTCAATCGGTAACATACTAAATGCATTTGACATGTAGAATATAGATTGTATGAGAAATTAGGTTCCTAGAATACAATGAAACACAAAAATTATGTTTTCAACATGTTGCTCCTGATCATATTCGATTTTTATTAAAGATCTAACACACATATAGTTCTTATAAATGGGTGGCTACATGAATGTCACATTGAACCTCCTTATTTAAAAGCTAATCAAATTTTTAGCTAGAGTCGAATATTATAGTTTTATGGTCTTCAATGCGAAGAGATGAGATGCATGGTAAATTAATTGAAAATTACCTACAAATCGCATGGTTGAGGGAAGATCTGAACTTGGAATCATTAACCCTACTTGCTATAATCTCCCTCGTCCATGCCTATATATACTTCCTCCACTCAAATGTCTTCCTCACCCAAACTTGAAAAAGGATATTACATTAGAGAGAGAGAGGGAGAGAGAGAGATTCCTGTGATTGACTTCAATAAGCTTGAGAGTGAGAATAGAGGTGAAGCAAGGAATGTGAGAAATGAACAATTTTTTATTTTTTTTGGTAACGAAATTTGTTTATATATCGTGAAAAACCACTATGATATATTTGATAAGGCAGACTGGACAATACTAGCCATAATCAACAAAGAAAAAGAAGTTAAGATCTTTCTAGTTCTATCTTAGTAGGGTACATCAAACACACATTTATACCTGAACTCTAAAAGAAGTTTCCTTGATATGTACCTGCCGATTGAGAACCATGAAATAGATAAAGAGCATATGGAGAAAGTGAAGCAACTCGTGAATCTACATTATGAAGAGAACATGAAAGGCAAATTCTATGACTCGGAGACAGCAGAGAATTTGGCAAACGGCGACTTTATCAACAGCAAAGACTGGGAAACCAACACCTTCAATTGGCATCGTTCAAATTCCAATATCATTGAGCTTGCCCTATCTAAAGACCTTTGGTAAGTTATAATAAACCTTGATGGTTCATTCATTAAGGAAGAATACACAGCATTAGACACCACTGAGGAAAAAAAAATAGAAAAGAGGCAGCTAAAATTTTGTTTATTACATTGTTCAATTGTGTCCTACTGCATACCAATCATGCAAATACAAAATCTTCAAAATTATGATACAAATAACCAACCATTTAACTCATTTGTACTACTAATGAAACATATATGCAGCAAAATGAGGAAATGTCATGGCTATGAAGGATGGAAGCAGACTCTCCATTGCCACCTTCTACAACCCTGCTATTGATGCAATAATTTCTCCATCTCCGAAGCAATTATTACCCAATCATTTCCACTTCCAAGATTACCTAGATCTTTATACCAGAACTAAACAAGACAAGGGTCTTAGGTCGAGCCCCTGAAGAGCATGGCAAATAGACGCTATCATGTTTGGTATGCTATATTAGATAGCACTAGACAATGTAAGTGCTACGCAATTTATACAACGTGATTTTATATCGCAAGTGTACAGTGTCAAGTTTTGTAGTATAGTTTTGAAATACGAGTGTCGAATCCATAGGGATTGATATGTGAATCCTATCGAGCACTATAATTATTTTAGCTTTTCGCTTTATCTAGAAAATCAATTTTTGAAAAAATGTTTTATTACTAAATTAAGATAAATGGGATGAATGATGCAGGTGAACAAGGGCAATTTGTAAAGTTTCTTATCAAATTATGAATGCCTAGGGAGTGATTTCACCATACTATCGACAATGTTTTTCAACTGTTATAACTATTTCTATCAATCTTTTCAAAATTTATAGGCAAGAATACTAAATTGATTCCGTCTTCCTCTCTCGAGCGTCGAATAGAATCTATTTCTATATTTTAATTCAAAAATCTCTATTCCGAACTAAAACATAAAAATCATCAAGCATGTAGTTCTTAATTGAAACAAGCCTCAAAGATTTCGCACTTTCTCTCTAAACCTACAAAATTTAGGTTATATTGTCTTAGATCACGCCTAAATTTACCTCTCTCGAGCGTCGAAATTTAAAGCATATAATCATTTAATTAGTGGTCAGTTAAATTAAAAGCGTTGCACAAGAATCAACATAAATAAATAAGCGGAGAGATTAAATGAAATAATTATATCGGAATCAAAACATGTCTAAATAGGTTACATCAAACCCTAGAATTAATGTCTAGTTTATAATGGAATTGATGGACATGATAAAATACACAATAAAGAACATGGAGAAGAAGTAAGGAATAAGAGAAAAAAAAACTAGTTGTGTTGCGTGAATTCTTCCCCCAATCGTCGTCAATCTTCTTGCAATTATTTTTGTTGATCTTTGCCTCTTGAGATTTTCTCCTTGCAATCCTCTTTTTGCCCTCCAGAAAAAGAAGTGCCGTTCTGCTCGTCCCCTTAGGTTAAGTAGTATGATAGATATTATTTTCATAAGAGTTTGTATCAAAAAAGGTATTTGCCCGATTTTTTTTTCGAATGATGCCCTCGTGCGCGTGCGGTATACTTCTGCGCACGCTGCATATCACTTCTACTTTCTGCATATGAAATTCAAGCCCTTGTGCACGTGAAAGTATTGGCCTGCGCGCGCCACTATAAAGTTTTTGCTTATGTTGCACTTTGGTCCCTATAGTTCATTCTTCGTTCCTTTTGGTTCATATTGACATCTTCGTGATCATTCATCCTCCAATATTATTTAATTGCATCTAGCTCTTCTTAAATCAACAATATTAGGTCCGAATCAACTTTTGGTACTTTGCGATCTAGTCCCCAAACTTTTGATTAAGCCCAAATTAGCAAATTTCCCGCTCTTCTGTCCAATTTCATTGTTTTGCTTGGAGTTACACCTAACAAACGAAATATGTATGAAGTTAAGCATCAATTCAATCCAAATAACAAAAAAATTTCTAGTTTAATGAATGAAATAAGTGTATAAAATACACTTATCAAATACCTCCAAACTTGAACAATTGTTTGTCTTCAAACAAAAGACAGATCAAATAAAATCATTAATATTCAAACAAACACAACTAAAACACACAAAATTACTTAAAACAAATTTCGTTAGATATCTTGCCTTCATAGCTCAGGATTGAAGCCATAACATCGACTCTATGAATCACTTCAAAGTTATAATGTACAAACTAAAATTCTTACATATTCAATATAAAACGGGGTGGGGGTGGGGGTGGGGAGGGGTGTGTGTGTGTGTGTGTGTGTATAGAGAGAAATGCAACGCTGTACAAGAATAAATTGATCCAATTCCCAACCTTAAAAGTCAATTATTTCCTTACTTTGCTCGTGGGATTTACACACCCCCAAACTTATTTTCTTTTCATTTTCCCATAGTGTAATCTAAGGTTAGCTTCAATACTAATCTCTTACACTGTTCAAATTTGGTTAGATTTTTCTGATTGCATTTCCACATGTCAACAAATGAGGTTTCTCCTTACTTTTGACTGCTTCAATCTCTAAGAATTAACCAAGTTACTAACCTCTTGTCAAAAGATCAATCCGCTAAAATGAGTGTTCGGGGCTTAACTTTTTTTTATCATCCCTTGTGCAGACGTCTTTCCCTTAAACTTTCTATATGACTCGTAGCAAGCTTTAAGCCGATGACTCTCAAATCAAATGACTTTAGGACATCAGGTTTTAACTCCTTACAAACTTAATCACTCGAGTCATAAAGACTACGAAGAGATGATTCACAATAAGATTATTTAAACTGTCCTCATTGGAACCTTTATTTTATTTTATTTTATTTTTTATTTTAATTTTTCAATGCTTAGTGCAATGCCCCTTATTAAACATGCATTCTCGAAAACTGACCTCTAACTTAAGATTTTCACCAAATTTTCATCCTATTAGTCTCAGAAAGTCCACACAAAAAGTGGCACACACGAAATCCAAATTTATCTCCAAGTTTTTTCACAACAGTACAATCCTCCAAACATCCTAGATTTGGTTTAAGGGTATACTGATGTTTAATGGTCGTTTGAGTTTAACAATCTAAGTTCTCTAGTTGGAACCTATAAACATGAATCCACCTATTCACACACAACGCTACAATCAACTTACGTGCAAAATAATTTTCGTTTCACGTGAATAAGTAAAAAATTTGACTCACACACATAACTTGTCCATAAACCAATGCATGTTCTCAATAATAAACATCATTGTCAATAAGGTTATCTAACTCACACAAGCATGTAGAACACGATTTATTTTTAATTTTTTTTTTAAACAATGCACACAATTAAAAAAATGCACACAAATCACACAAAATAAAAAATTAGGTAATTAGACAACCTATCATACACTCCCCCCAAACTTTAACTGAACATTATTCCCAATGTGAAATTAAAAGAAAAGGATGAGGACTTCCCTGAATTGTCTAAATTGCCAAAGATGGTCTGGTTGCTCTGATGTTGAATTTGATGGACGCTTCTTCTCGTTTTTCCTCCAAACTTGAGATTTATCCAGCTTCTCCTTGTTAATGTTGGTTTGATTGTTCCGCGACATCATGTTCCTAAAAATTCAAAATGTGGATATTAAACTCATAGAACAAATGTTACTTAGCTCGAACATCAATAATCAACTTAAGTATTCAAAGACCTAAGGGGGACGGGGTAGGACTGATGAATTCCTAAATAAAAACTTTGAAATAAATAAGTAAAAATGTAAGATCGCTTGAGTTGCCTCCCAAGAAGCGCTTTTTTATAATCACTAGCTTAACTCAACCGCAATGCCTACGGTGGACCCTTAGGTGGCACATTTCTCTTGTCTTCGAACTTTACCCTCGACTTTGTATTCTCCTTCATTATAAAATGGCGAACAACATTATACAATTTTGACCCCAGTATGGTCTTCAAGACCTCCTTTGGTTTGGCAACGTTTGGAGGTTTCAAAGACCTATCCACATAGCTCTCTTTTTTGTCAGGTGAGTCAGCTTCTTAGGCTAAGATGAAATCCACTGCCATCTTGGTTCCTGAGTCATTACCATCAATAGATGCATCCCTTGCTAAGTAACTGGTTGTCATGTATTGTACAACGGATCATAAAATAATTCTTCTTTTCCTTTGTTTCCTACAATTACTTTAGCTGGTTGAATCATTTTGCAATTTTTCTTTTTCTGAGGCTTTTTTCTTAATGGATGTTGAAAGTTACTTGCTCTTCATTAATCCGTAGGGTCAACTTTCCTTCTTGCACATCAATCAATGCTCTTCCAGTAGCAAAGAAAGGTCGACCAAGAATTAACGGTACTTTTTCATCCTTCTCCATGTCCAATACCACAAAATCCATCAGAAAGATGAACTTATCAACCTTCACCAACACATCTTCAATAATACCCTTGGGATATCTGATCGATCTGTCCGCCAGTTGCAAGATGAGGGTTGTGGGTTTCACTTCTCCAAGACCCAACTTTTTGAACACTGATAGGGGCATCAAGTTTATGCTAGCTTCAAGGTCACACAATGCCCTATCAAACGTGATATCACCAATATTGCACAGGATGTTGAAGCTACCCAGATCTTTCAATTTATGAGGGTGTTTCTTCTAAAGTATGGCGCTACACTCCTTTGTCTGCTTAACAGTCTCGAACTCCTCCAACTTTCTCTTCTTTGACATCGCTTCCTTTAAGAACTTGGCATAGTTAGGCATTTTGGCCAAGTCTTCTGCAAAAGGAATGTTGATGTGGATTTTCTTGAAGACCTCCAGAAACTTTGAGAATTTCTCATCAAACTCTTTTTTCAAATACCTCTGCTGGAATGGTAGTGAGGGTTTCAAGATAGGTGGGTTGTCTGAAAATGAAATTGAGTAAGACATATAAATTTTCTTTTTTTTTTTCCTCTGCCTCAGTTTTCTGCTCTTCAGTCTGCTTTTCCCCTGCAAGTATGGGATCCGATGTAGGCACCCCCACCTCTCTAGGCTTGCGTTCTTCAACTATTTTACCATTCTTTAAGGTAATAGCATTGCAGTGTTTCCTTATGTTGACCTTCATATCACTGGAAAATTTTTCTTTCTGTTGGGATTGTATCACAGTTGCTATCTGATCAATCTGTACCTCTAAATTCTTCATTGTGGCCCCCCAAGTTGGTCATATGAGTCTCAATGTTTTCAAGTCTTGCCTCATCTTTGTTGAACCTCAATCTGGTCTCCGAAATAAAGGTTCCTAAAATATCTTCTAGTGATGGCTTTTGTTCAGATGCCTGATTATTGAACCCCTGATAGTAGTTGTTTCCTTAGTAGTTTCCCTTTAGATTGAAGTTCCGGTCGTTAACATGCTAAAGTTGTCCATTCTCCCTTTCAGCTTTCTGGTGTGCAGTGGACGTAGCCAGAATAGATTCTGATTTCTTTTGCGATTCATGTGAAGTCAATGCAGCTATTTGATTAGTGAGAGATAACATTTGAGTTGGAAGGACGGTAATGGGATCCACAAGGCCAGCAACTTTCTTTGCACTTGAACGCTCACTTGGCCATTGATAGCTATTAGTAGCTATCTCATCCAATAATGCATAAGCCTCATTTGGAGTCTTAGTTAATAATGCACCCCCTGCTGCAGAATCTACCACTATCCGTGTCTGACCATTCAAACCATTGTAGAAGGTTTGTATCTGCAACCAATCCGGGTAACCATGCTGAGGACATTTTCTGAACTAATCTTTATATCTCTCTCATGCCTCATAGAACAATTCGAAGTCTGACTGTCGAAATTGCCCAATTTCACCCTGCAATTACGTGCTTTCGAAGGAGGAAAGAATTTTGTAAGAAACTTTTGTGCTAACCCCTCCCAAGTTGTGATGGATCTATACGGCAATGATTGAAACCATGCTTTGGCTTTGTCTCTTAGGGAAAAGGAAAATAGATGGAGTCAGATTGCATCTTCAGTAACGCCATTCATTTTCACTATATCACATATCTCTAGAAAGGACCCTAAATGAGCATTTGGGTCTTCTGTTGGAGCTCTCCCAAACTGATTCTACTATACCATGTGTATAATTCCTGACTTCAGTTTATTGTTGTTAATAGCAATAGTTGGGTGTTTAATACCGAAGTAATTTTCATTGACAACTGGTCTGATATAGTCCATTATAGCCCGTTGTTGACCATTCTGATTGTTTTTATTTGCTATTGGTGGATCTTGTTCTGTCATTGCTTCACGGTTGTGTCTCTGAATACCCCTTAGAAGGTGAATTAAAGTTAAGATAGAAAACCAAATTAAAATGAAAGCCAATTGATAATAATATTAATCAAATTCCAATGAATCAATCCCCGAAAACGACACCAAAAACTTGGTACGTAATTTATGCAACGTGATTTTATACCACAAATGTACAGTCTCAAGTTTTGTAATATAGTTTTGAAATACGAGTGTCAAATCCACAGGGATTGATATTTGAATACTATCGAGTACTATAATTATTTTAGCTTTCACTTTATTTAGAAAATCAATTTTTGAAACGATGTTTTATCGCTAAATTAAAATAAATGGGATGAATGATGCAAGTGAACAAGGGCAATTTGTAAAGTTTCTGATCAAATTATGAATATCTAGGGAGTAATTTCACCATACTATCGACAATATTTTTCAACCATTATAACTATTTCTATCAATCTTTTCAAAATTTATAGGCAAGAACACTAAATTGATTCCATTTTCCTCTCTCGAGCATCAAATAGAATCTATTTCTATATTTTAATTTCAATATCTCTATTCCGAACTAAAACATGAAAATAATCAAGCACGTGGTTCTTGATTGAAACAAGCTTCAAAGATTTCACACTTTCCTACAAAATCTAGATTATGTTGTCTTAGATCACGCCTAAATTTACTTCTCTCAAGCGTCAAAATTTAAAGCATCAAATCATTCAATCAGTGGCCAGTTAATTAAAAGCATTGCACAAGAATCGACATAAATAAGCGGAAAGATCAAATGAAATAATTATATCGAAATCAAAATATGTCTAAGTAGATTACATCAAACCCTAGAATTAATGTCTAGTTCATAATGGAATTGATTGACATGATAAAATACACAATAAAGAACATGGAGAGGAAGTAAGGAATAAGGAAAAAAACTAGTTGTGTTGCGTAAATTCTTCCCCCAATCGTTGTCAATTTTCTTGCAATTGCTTTTGTTGATATTGGCCTCTTGAGATTTTCTCCTTACAATCCTCTTTTTGCCCTCCAGAAGAAGAAGCGTCGTTTTGTCTGTCCCCTTAGGTTAAGTAGTATGATGAATTTTATTTCCATAAGAGTTTATGTCAAAAAAGGTATCTACCTAATTTTTTTCAGAATAATGCCCTCACGCGCTGGGTATACTTCCTTGCGAGCGTGCCGCATATCACTTCTACGTTTTGCATATGAAATTCAAGCCAGTGCGCACGCGAGAGTATTGGCCTGCATGCGCGAGCCACTATGAAATTTTTCCATGTGTTGCACTTTGGTCCTATAATTCATTCTTCGTTCATTTTGGTTCATTTTAACATCTTCTTGATCATTCATCCTCCAATACTATTTAATTGCCTCTAGCTCTTCTTAAATCATCAACATTAGGTCCGAATCAACTCTTGTTACTTTGCGATCTATTCCCCAAACTTTTGATTAAGCCCAAATTTCCCGCTCTTCTGTCCAATTTCAATGTTTTGCCTCTAGTTACACCTAACAAATGAAATATGTATTAAGCATCAATTCATCCTAAATAACAAAATTTTCTCTAGTTTAATGAATGAAATAAGTGTATAAAATACACTTATCAGTAAGACCACAAGATTTCAGCTTCATTCTCTTCCTTTTTACTCTTGCAATATCCAATCACCTTATTGAACGTGCAATAATTGCACTAGCAAGAGAGATGATTCTTAAACCCGCTACATGTAACAGTGACTACTGCCGTATGTCCTATAATTTCCTTCCCTCCTTGTTTGTCTTTGCCAAAATTCAAGGGAAGCTGCTGTACACTGCTTCCTTCATTCTACTTTCATAAAGTGAATAGTGGAGCATTTGTAATGTTCAAACTTCAAGGCGTATACGCTTTATTTGCACTGTATTCTATTAACATGGCCAGGGACACAGCCATAGAAGGTGAAATATTTTCTATCAAAATGCATATACAGCATTTTCCCCCAACCAAATACCCACACGGACACCGCACCCAAATTTCACCCCAGAATTCTTCAAAGGGAATTATACCTAAGACCTCACTTTGATCCTAAATATTGGAATAACTGGCTTGACACAAGCTTCAAAAAGATTGATCGACGCATTAGGATTGGCACAATTATTTTCTTAAAACTTGGCAAAAAGTCTCCGAATTCCAATAGGTGAACATGAGTTGCTATACTAACAATCTTATGGAGCCACCGCCAACAAGTACAGTTTTTAATACTTTGTCGATGGCTCACCCTCTTGCGGGAATTGAAGGATTTAGGATGTTCTTTTGCGTAGTATTGTGAAATTCCTTGAATACAATATGAAGGCAAATTGGATAAATTCGTGAAGGATCTAAGTAACCAATGAATTCAATGGCTGGATTGGTGAACTGCATGGCTTAAAAGTACTAGAGCATGCTGTATGTACATGCCAGTCTAATCTAATGACTCAGGATCACCAGTTTAGTATGGCCCAAAACTTCAGCAAACAGAGGAGGAGATCGGAAACCATTAGGCTTAACGCAAACATGTAACCAAATGTTTACAAAATAAATACATCTAGGCAAAAGTTGTTTTATTTTATAACTAAACAGGATCAATCACTGTCATCAGAATAAACCAAAGCATGTAAGCCAATCGATATACATAGGCATCACAAGAGATGTAGACATCCATTCTAAATAGTGTTACACGTAAAAGAAGCCAATAAAACCTATCTTCTTAAGTCCAATGGTAAGAATAATGCATAACTGTTCTAACATTTCAGTTCCCTCACTGCATAAGCACATCCATGCCGTTCAACCATCTGAGATAGAGAAAACCCGAAGCCAACAGGCTACTCTTTTATGAACACAGGAACCTCGCCTCTCACTACCCTCCAAGGTCCGCCATAAAACTTTGGCTTCATTAGGGGTACAGCTTGACCAGGGTGCTCTTCCCAGTATTTCTCCTGATCAATTTTAGATTTCTTATAAGTTACTGCAAGATATGGCTTTCAGGTGATAAAATGGAAAAAAATATAAAAAAAAGTCACACAGTGCTGTTAAAAGAAAAGAATAAAAGAAGTTCACACTTAATAACAACAGAAGTAGAGATTCCTTAGTACCAACTACCAAGTGCAAGAGATAACTGCTAATTACCTATGGATAGTGCATATTCCTGAAAAATCCAAATAAGACAGCACGAGAGAGAAAAATAACTGTATATAAGGGTTACTTCTTGTTTCATGCTAGCAACCTCTTACTTCTAGCAGAAATGAATGCAAAATTATAGTGAAAGGATTCAATTATAAGTTTCAGATCTAGGTTTGAATATAAATTTCTGATCAGTAACACGTCTGAATCTAATCATGCATGTCTAGTGCACTTTGTAGTACAGGGTGTCAAAAAAAGTGAATAGCATGTTACAAATCAATTTTACAAGAAACTGGAAATTTTTATACCATTATCGGCAATATATTATATTATTATTAAATTTTAATCGTAAATGAGCTTCCTCAGTAAATAAATAAGAATTAAATAGCATTCCAATTACCACATCCTGGATTTGAGAGTGAAATATTTGAACTAAATACCATTCGAAGAGTTTGTGTGGGGTTCGTTAAATGAAAAGGAAGAAAAATCTATTTTCCAATTGCAGCATTCCCAAATAAATTTCAAAGTAGGAAATAGAATGGGACAGAGGATTTAGTGGAGCAAGGTGATTAATACTTAAGTAACTGATGTTTCTTAAAGCATAATGACACTGGAAAATTCAAATACAGTTTTTCTTTCACTTTCCAATATTAGTGGTGCTCAAATCAAAAGCCAAAATCAGCATGGATCTCATGTTTAGGAAATTAAGCTAAAGCTCGTGGCTTCAAAAACTATCTTTTGAGAGGGCTAAGAGAATGAATTAATAAATTTTTACCATTGGTGTTCTCTTCAATCTCTAAGCATTTCACCGCTCAAATGCTTTTGTTTCATTACAACAAATTAAATATATACTTCCATAGAGCCAAGTGAACATGCCAAATGGAACAATCAGTTATCAGTGGAATACGTACCTTATAAAGTTGCTCAGTGATAGCAGCGCCAATTACTCCCGTATAAAATGCAAATACATAGATAGTAACAAGGGGGGTGAAGGATTTTGGCCGTCTATATGGCTCAATCATGTCCCAAAGAATCGTCTTTTCCCACTTTGTGTGCAAATAATCCGCGTGTTTCCTCCAAAGATAGCTCGTCATTTCACTCCACCCCGCGAATTTTCTCCACGGATTCTGTATTGCAAAAACCCGTTTATTAACAGTTCTAGACTTTTAGTAGCCCAATCGAAAAAGTAAAAGGAAAAAAGAACAACAAACTTCAACCAATCACTTGGGCATTTCAACAAACAGATTATAGCCAGCAAGATTATAATCCCTCCGTATCACAATCCACTAACTTAAAACGCAAGAATTTCTTAGAGAACTATCTTTTGATCAGAGGAAACAACAATATGCAAAGGGCAATTACCTGGTCGTCGATGCAGGTGATAAGCTGTGCGTTCGTTTAGCTTGTATTCACGTCACAAAAAATTTCAAATATTGGTAGGTAACAGCAAAACGGGTTTATTGGTTGGGTCAAACCGATCCACCACTGCATCGAGATCCGGTCTATTATGAACTCGAACCGGCTCTTATGATAATGAGGTAATTGGTGCAAATGATCTAAACCTTTGCTCAAATTGCATTTTTGGTCCAAATCTTTCAATTGTTGGTATAAAATGGTCTCAACCTTTTCATTTTGATGTAAACAGTCCTTCTCAATGGAATTTATTTATGTGCAATGTAATTGCCCTGATTTTAATTTTTTTCAAGGGCAATTTCATCGAATGAATTTCTCTACTTAAAAAATCAAAAATATTTTAAAAAATAAAAAATATATAACTTTATTCATCTTAATCCACCCATCCCACCAACATGACTTTTACATACTAACGGTCATCATACATGACCCGAAAAGTGATACAATTTAAAATTCACGTTGTTTGTCTAGATTCAATAGAAGCCAATTTGTAATTTTTTCATTGTTGTATTTCTTTTTTCAAGTCAGTTTTTGATGGCTACGCAGTTAGTTCATGTTTGAACTTCATTATTTAAACTCTTTTTCAATCACACATTTTCTAAATAAAATAATTTTACATATAAATTCAAAAAAATTTCTACTTTTCAAGTATACATCTCCAAAAATTCACTATTACAAAATATATTTTTCCCAAAAAATGGATCTCAAACGAACGCTTGGTATTTAGTGGGCAATCAATGTTAGTGTTTGACAATATGACATAATTGAACAAAGTGATCTAGACTGAGACGAAATTGTAGTATAGCAATACAAATTACCCAAAATCACATTTTAAGAATGCAATTTATATCAATTGAACCACTTTTTCTATTTATTGCATAACATTTAATTGTACTTAAGGTTCTAAGCCTCTCTTATTATAGCACTTAGGGTAATTAGCACAAAATATCCATATCTTTCGATATTTTTGTGGAAAGCAGCCATATCTTTCATTTTTTGGCGGATTACATCCTCACCTTTACCTTTTTTTGTACAAAACGTCCTTCTGTCAACTCTCCGTTAAAATATTCTGTTAAATCAAAAGGTAATTAGCACAAAAGATCCCTACCTTTCAATGTTATTGTGCAAAACGTCCATACTTTTCACTTTTTAGCATAATTAGCACAAAACGTCCATACCTTTTATTTTTAGCATTTTCACCCCTACATTTCACCTTTCATTGCGCAAAATGTCATTTTCATCCATTTTTCCAATAAAATGACGATTTTACCCTCCTATTGAAATAAAACAAAAAGAAAAAAATTAATTAATTGCAATCATAGTCCTAAATTTTTCAAAACATTACAGATAAATCATAAATTCTTCACTACCGCCACTTTCACAACCCCACCAAGCCACCACCTATAAATCCATATAGCACCACCTTTCGGCCACAACACCTATCGGACTCCACCACCCCCAGCCTCGCCTCACTCTCCTCAATATCCTCCTCCATAGTATTGGTCACCAATCTATCCGAAACAAGTACATTTACGATGGTGAAGTCCGATGGCCATGGTAGTCGAAAGGTTGTGTTATGTGGATTTATAGTTGGTAGCTTGATAGGTTGTAAAAGTGGTGGTGGTTGAGAATTTATGATTTATTTGTAATTTTT